AAGGGACAGGGCTAAGGAACCAGAAATCAAACCATTATCTTTGTTTATTTGGGTCTAATAGGATACTTATTCCTTGTCATTCCTGTAACTCAAGTAATAAAACCCAGAGACAGGTATTGGGGTTCAGTCTTCAAGCTGAAGATGAGAGAGGTAACGCAGCCAAGCCACTAGATCTTACCTCTGCCTCGGGCTGAAAGGGCTGTTCTGGCCTCAGTGTGGCTGCAGACCTATTCCCACATGAAATCCTTTGTGTCTTTCTTTTCTACCTCTCAAATCCTGGGATAAAAGGTGTGTGATCCCAAATGCTGGGATCTCCTTTGTGTGAGCTATTTTTCTTTTAGTCTGGGTCAATTTTGTATAGCTCAGTGTGGCCTTGAACTAATAGAGATCCATGTTCCTGTCTCCTGAGTCCTGGGATTAAAGGTGTGTACCACCACCACCTGACTTCTATAGCTAAGTACTGTAGCTGACTTTGCATTCTGATACTTCAGGCAATCAAGAATCATAAGTAATATATTATCATACTACTCACCCACCTTCTGAAAATGACTCTGATAGCAACCTTTTTACCTAGAATTGCATTATGATTGATTGGCAAGTGGAAACAATTACACAATACAAATATTTCCTCCTTTAAACTGTTTCTTGTGAAACACTAAAAAACAGGAGGTTTCAGCAGAGTATGTCAGTGGCCATGTACTTCAGATTCACCGTAGGCTCCACTTCATGTGTTAATTTTCACTTGATTTGTAGTCTGTTCTATGTTAGTCAAGAGGGTCAGATTTGGGGAAGAATGGTTTCTGCCCAGTATGCTTACAGACTGTTAGCCAAGCACCCCACCCTAAGTGTTTCCTTTGGTATCCTTTCTATGACCCTGCTTAGGAGGAAGCATGTAGAATTTTCTTTAGTTGCTCACATATTCTTCTGCTTGATTGGTTGATTTTTGCAGAAAAATGACCAATTTTCTATCCTCAAAGAATGCAGAACATTAGTTCGTGGTTTACATTTTTTTCACTTACCATGTACTTGACAGTGAATAAAAAGGGCGCCAGTCAAGAGTATTTATATGAATGTTCATATTGGCAAAGTTCTCCACCCAAATCCTTATTTCTTCCATTTGCCATTCGCGAAAATGGGCTTCTGGAAGCAAATGGGTAAATAGCATAGAGAGGCGGCCCTCTGACTGGGGTGATAAGAGTGATTCAGGGGACAGGAAGATGGATCTCTGTTAGTTCAAGGCCACACTGAGCTACACTATTGATCCAGTCTAAAAGCGAAATAGCTCATACGAAGTATAAAAGGAAGAAGCAAAGGATCTCATGTGGGAATTAGTCTCTAGCCACATTGAAGAGAGCATAGCAGTCTAGGATTGCAGTCAGATGCTTGGTGGAGGCATTGTACTCTGAGGATTCATGGAGACAGGATTGCCATTTCGCCTTAGTAGAGGTAAGAGCTAGTGACTTGGCTGCTTTGCTTCTCTGACCTTCAGCTTGAAGCTTGAACCCCGATGTCTGTCTCTGGATCATTTATTATTTGTGTTACAGAATTTTTTATGCTTTGGACATGCTGATCTCTAACAGTGTTCTTTAACAATCATGCTCATTTTGTTTGTAACAGGTTACTGTTGACATGTAACTTACAAGGCTCTAAAACTACCTTATCCAAAAGAAAAGACATGATGAACATTTTTTTCCCACATATTCTGTGTCTGAGATGAAAAACAATAAACGTGGTGCCTTCCAGATTTAGTTTACTGCTATGTGGAAATCTAGGCTTAGGAAGTTGAACTTATTTACATGTGGTTACACATATGGATCTAGGTACTAAATTTACCTCAGGTGTGCATTCCTTCGTATTTGTTTTTAAACAGAGCATCTTGACATAGCCTAGATTGGCTTTTCAATTATTATCTGCCTTTCTTTGCCTCCTGAATGCTATGGATATAGATTGATGTGTATCTACCACACCCAACTTTCAAAATTTGATATTGTTTCCCAGCACTGTGCCAATCTGTTACTATGAGAGCTACAGGAATTCAAGGGGGCAATTTAATATGTTTGGGCATAATTAGGAAAAGGCATTATGGAATGTAACAATAAAAATAGGAAATGTAGGATTAGAAAGGGTTATACTGTGCGTGGAGACAGAAGTGCTGAAATAATAATAGTGAACATTAATGTACTTTAAAAATATAACAATACTCAGAAAAGCCCCATGAGGTAGGGACAATCATTTGTATAATAGGTGGGGAGACAGTTAAGGATCTAGCCTTAGTCACATATTAATCTGTAGAATGAGATTCCAGAGCATGTGGTATGTGGTCATGAGCAGTGGGTACTGGGTGCTTCAGGGCTGAGTATAATAGACATGAAAAAGGAGGGAAAATAACCCTGCATATCAGGGCACAGGTGAGGGCGGTAGGGTTATTGAGCACCGTGTGTATCAGCTAGCCTTAAGATAACATTCTTAGTTCATACTTGGCTTCTCGGGTGGGAGGGGGAAAAGATGTCCCATTGCTAACACGTCAGGCTTCCATGATGTACATATCCTCTAATTTACTGTCTTTGTGTTTCACTGTTTTGTTTTTCTTTTCCTACCCATTTCCCACGCCTCTTGTGTTTTATTTTCAAGCACCCCCCCACACACACACACATTAGGGTAAGGGTGAAAAGAAACTGTTACTGTCAACGTGTTAGAAGTGCTCCCTAACACTGCATGTACAAACTTTTGATCCATCCATTTAGCACCCTGGCCTGTTAGACCCTCTAAAAACCTGTCCAGTATCCTGTTGGGTTTGTTTTCTCCAATTAGTTCCCTTGTATATCACATACTTTGGTGTCTTCTCTGCCTTCTTGTGTCATGCTTTTCCTGTGTTAGTGTTATCTGCCACTTTTGTTCAGATTGGATCCTTCAAGGCCCAAAACAATGTAAGTCTGCCCCATACAGTCAGCTGTCCTCCAGCCTTTGCATGCACTATTAAAGCAATACAGTACTTAATGCTTCTGATACGTTAGAATGACAGAAACCACACGGTACCCATACCATCAGAGTTAAGTGCAATTTTGTAAATGTTGCAGTAGTTTGTGTTGATTTTTAATGTGTATTGAAGGTTCTTGGTAGTTTTAGAAAGTAAATGGGGGTGGGGCTGGAAGGATGGCTCTCGGTCAGTACAATAAAGTGCTTACTTCTTAAGAAGCATGGGAAACTCAGTTTGGTTCGCCCGTGTGAAAAAGTGCCTGTGTCCCTAGCTGTTGGGGAAGGGGACTGGCAAAGAAAGACAGACCCTGGAACTTAGTGACTGTCCAGCCTAGCCAAACTGATGACCTCTAGGTTCAGTGTTTCAAAAATGAGAATAAACAGTTGAGGGAGACACTTGACATTGATCTTTGACCTCCAAATGCATTTTTATTGACACACATACATACTTTTATATGAACATTCACACACAAAATAATTAGTGGGTTTTTTGAAATTGTCAAAGGATCTTATCCTTTTGCTTGTGATTGATAAGGCATTTTATACAGCACATTAAAGCTACTGCCATTTTAAATATTAAACACTATGATGAGTGGACTTACTCCTGTTGGCCTAGCAGCTCAGCTAAATACCAAAAGTAGAGAGCACTGAGCACTCCAAATGCAAAGGACATTGGGAGGAAGTGTCTTTCTAGCCCAGAGCCTGCACCATGAACTCATGTTCCATGTTATACCGCTGGCTCTGTTGACATCCAGTGTGGAAGTGTAGTGCCCATGGAGGAAAGCACCTCACTCTCAGTACTCGAGGCTTTTTTTCCTACTCTCCCTTTTTTTGTATTGTTTTCAAGACAGGGTGGCCCTACATATAACCTGGTTGTCCTGAACTTAGGCTGGCCTTGAATTTAGAGATCTGCCTGCCTTTGTCTACCAAGTACTGGAACTAAAGGCACGTGCCAATAAGCAGGCTATGGATGCTTTCTCAAGGCCAGCTCCCATCATGTGCTCTGCCCAACTCCAGTCCTGTTAGTGTATTTTATTTGGTGGTTAAAGCTGTGGGCGTTAGACTAACTGGTATTTCTTGGCAAGCCATGGCAACTATCTGCACTAGTTTGCTGAATGCTACTTGTGGAACATTGTTGTTGTAATCATCTAGAGATAATGCCCAGGTTGCACTTTAAACCACATAGGTAGAAAAAACAGACAAATGGCAAACATAATCAGTCTGGACATTTACAGTGTTTAGCAGGAATGAGTAGTGAAGCCCTCCAGAAGCTGTTATGGTGGCATTTCTAGTTGAAAGTCCAGGAAGAACATCTCCATGTATGTTCTTTGGTTTCTCAGTCTCGCCTAATTTTTTTTTTTCCAAGACAGGGTTTCTCTGTGTGACAGTCCTGGCTGTCCTGGAACTCTCTTGTAGACTAGGCTAACCTCGAACTCACTGAGATCTGCCTGCCTCTGCTTCCCAAGTGCTGGGATTAAAGGCATTTGCCACCACTGCCTGAGTTTTCATTTTTTTTAAAATCAAAGATAAACGTAACTGTTGGTAAAGGTTTGCCTTCTCTATGTTTGTAAGGTTGGAATGTTTTTAATACCCTTAGGCGTTTACTTTTCTTCTTTCTCCCTGTTACTGGAGTGAAGGGTCAGTCTGTCCCAGGAGAGGGTATCAGGGGACACTTGATATGCATGCTTGAGTTTGAGAGCTTGCTATCAGACTCAGCTCTAAACAGAACAGGAGTTCACCAGTATATATTGTAGAATATAGTGTGAGCAGGGGAGTAATGCATATTAAGTGCTGTCTTGAAAGGTGCTTTTGCTGCTAGATTCTAAGCAGGTTTTACTCAGTAGAGGAATAAAATCTCATTGGGCTACTACACACCCCCATCCACTGGAGGCGCGAATTGCAGCCCCATTGTAGCAGAGATGTTCAGTAAGTCACTGCTAACGGCTTGCAGTTGGAATTCATCTGTCTCCATTCAGAGTGAGTGTGCTTCTTAAAGATATTGTTTTTTATTGGTTCTCCCGCAGCTCAAGACATGGCTGCCCAGTGTGTCACCAAGGTGGAATTAAATGTTTCCTGTGACAACCTTTTGGATACAGATGTAACATCAAAGTCGGACCCTTTATGTGTGCTGTTTTTGAACACCAGTGGCCAACAGTGGTATGAGGTAATATTGTGTACTTTAGGTGGAAGCAGTCCAGGTTTCTATTTTACAGTGTTAAGGGTTTATTTTAAAATGTTAAAGATAATACTATAGAACTGGAGAGATGGCTTAGAAGTTAAGAGCCCTGGCTGATCTTCCAGATGACTTGGGATCTATTCCCATCACCTACCTGTAACTCCCATTCCCAGGGATCTGAAGGCCCCGTCTAGCTTTTGCAGGCACTGTACCCATGTAATACACAGATGTACATGCAGGAAAAACACCCATACTTGTCAACAAACAACAACAGCACTGCACCATCTCATCTGTTTCCCCCACATATTTGCCCTTGATAGCACAATTCCGCATATTCATAGAGAAATTTCCAAAATATAAGTGATGAATAGACTGGTGTTACGGCTCAATGGCTAGATGGCTAAACGAAACAATTTGTGTTTGAGCCCAGATCTCTCTTGGTAGGAAAGAACTGACTCTTCAGTTTTCAGGGGACCTCTGCAAACTGCCCTGACCTCATACATGCTGCCTGTATTCTCCCACATATATGCAAACTTTAGGAAGAGAAATTTCCTTTAGTCTTCATGTTACATGTAACTATAATTAGTAAATAAAGATTTTAAAAAATCTAAGTGCTTCTTGGATCTGAAAAAACTTTTCTTATGTTTTTTGGGGTGAGTATAGGTTGAACGGACAGAAAGGATTAAGAATTCTTTAAGCCCCAAATTTTCTAAGACATTTATTATTGATTACTACTTTGAAGTGGTTCAGAAATTGAAATTTGGAATTTATGACATCGACAACAAAACTATCGAGTTGAGTGACGATGACTTCTTAGGAGAATTTGAAGTCACTCTTGGACAAGTGAGTATTCTCATTCCCTTTTCTTTTGTCTGAATTTTGTTTTGTTTTGTTTTTTTGAGGTAGAATCTCACTACTTAGCAGGGGTTGGCTTCATACTTGCTACTATGTAGCATAGTTTGGACTTAAAATTATGGTAACCCTCTAGCCTCTGCCCCCAGAGTGTTGGGATTACGGAGGTGTGCTATCACATCCAGCTATTTCGCATAGTTAAACCAAAGAGTTGAATGTTTTTTGATAAACATGTGTCTTAATCAGTGTTCTCTTTCTGTGAAAAGATACCATGACCACACAGCAACTCTTATAAAGGAAAACGTTTAATTAGGGCTGGCCTACAGTTCAGAGGTTTAGTCCATTATCGTCACAGTGGGAAGCGTGGCAGCATGCAGGCAGATGTGATGCTGGAGAGGTAGCTGGGAGTGCTACATCGGGATCCACAGGCAGCAGGAAGAGAGAGACACTGGGCCTGGCATGAGCATTTGAAACCCCAAAGCTTACCCCGAGTGGCACACTTCTTGGTCCAACAAGACCACACCTACTCCAACAAGGCCATACCTCCTAATCCCTGTCAGGTAGTACTACTTCCTAGTAACCATGTTTTCCAATATATGAGCCTAAGGGCCCACCTTTACTTTCAGGAGGTTTTCAGGCCAATGTGGGAGATGAAAATCTGGACTCTTTTTTTTTTTTTTTCCATTTTGAGGAAGGAGCTAAATTCTTAAGGAATGAGTCAACAACCTAATGGGTAGGGAGAAATAGCTGCCAGATAGATCTTTTCAAATGGGTTTTAAATGTGAAGATGAATTTCAAATGTCTTTAAGGGATTAGTTTTAATGCCACTCTTTCTAATGACTTTAAGTGGATTTTATAGTCAACTTTTTTTTTAAGTATGTGGTTCAGCAACTCACATGATGAAGTATTGCTTTTTGCTTTTGACAGATTGTTTCCAGTAAGAAGTTAACTCGACCACTGGTGCTCAAAAATGGCAGACCTGCAGGGAAAGGGACTATTACGGTAAAAATAATATAATCTTTTACTTCATGAGATGTTGGGGAAGTCTTATGTCAATAAAGCACTGTTGAGCCAATAGGGAACCAATATAGGAGGGATTAGGAGTCCAGGAGGACTCTGGGAAGGAGAAACACAAGAGAGTCGAGATGTAACGCCATGGGGTAGGAAGCCCGGAAACTTCTCCGGTAAGAGACATACTTAGATTAATAATTATGGGGTAATTACTTAAGTCAGAACTAGCCAGTAAGAAACAAGCAAGGCCAACAGCTTCATAATTAATATAGCCTCCTGTGTGTTTATTTGGGACTGATGCGGCTCTAGAACCAGGCTGGCGGGAAGGCTTCTCTCAAAGAAAAAGGCTTCTCTTTACAATGAGACACTCTATTAAGTCTAATAAGACAGTACATAACAAGCAAATAATCTGTAGCCATGCCTGATCAGTTGATCTCGAATATTACATTCCATTCACCCGGTCCTAATAGTTACCAGAAATGGAAACTGTCTTGCTAACAAAAGAAAGCAAATGAGTTGTAGAAATTCATTTCTTCAGCATTTTTAAGTTGTCATCAAGGTCAGATGCACCTCTTGCTTGGATGTGTCAGTTTATAAGTTAGAGAGGAAAGGCTTAGTAAACTGCATAAATCAGTTTGGCTCTCTGAAAAGAAAGCATGGTCTTCTTACCATGACACAAACTTCCCATGATGGATTTCATTCTAAATGGATATTATAACGTGACCATTGAACGTATAAACTCTTGGCCGGGCATCCTATTATCCTGGCAGTCAGAAGCTTGATGCAGTAGAATTACCAAAAATCCAAGGCCAGCCTTGTCTATGCATTGAGTTCCTGATTATCCAGAGCTAAGTGTCTTAAAAATATAAAATAAATAGCAAAACCAAGCAAAAGCTCTAGAGACTTTCCCATGACTTCCTGTCATTGCTTCTGCTGCATGTCATCACACCCAAGGTTTTCATTGCTCATTACTGGCCCTGAAAAAGTGCCAGTTATTGGATAATAAGCATTGGAATACCTTATATCTTTCTAATTGGTTTTCTGTAACACAGTAGCCTGGCAATTACAATTGTCAGGTATGTTTTTTTCAGCAACTGTTTCTAGCTGAGATTTCTAGAAGCACAGTATTTAGATGGTTAACTTATGTGCTACAGAGAACTTTATCAATAGTTAAGACACTAGCTTCACTTCAGATCATATAAGTCTTTTGCCTTTTACTAAGGGTTTCCACTAAGAGGAGCAGTTCCAAGTCTTAACCCTTTGGAGGCTAAAAACAAAGATAGTTGGGATAGCCTGGATTGGATTTAGGGTAGAGGGACTCTTCAGTTACACTGGATGAAAAATACTGGCCTCATATTCCAGCCTACAGTTTTCTAGATAGGATTTATTTATTCTTTCTTCTCAACAATTTTTTTTATTTTATGAAATAGGAATAATAAGAAAACCATGGGTTTTTTTCTGGTCATTGCATTTACTCTTGAACATTCTTGACCATATCTACAATGAAAATGTGTTTACAGACACATTGTATATTAAAATTTGCAAACCTCACCCCTGCTACACACACCCCTAAAACAGCTGACTAAGGAACCACATTCAAAAAAGAGACTTTTATCAATGGAGAGATGCTTGCCTAACTTGTGCTGCAATCTGTACTGCAAATGGAATAAAATAAAATAAAAAGAAAGTACTTAGTTCATGAGTGCTTCGTTTTCCTTCACTTACCTTATCTACTTGCAGATTTCAGCAGAAGAAATCAAGGATAACAGAGTGGTCTTGTTTGAAATGGAAGCCAGAAAACTGGACAATAAGGTAGGTAGGTTTTGTGTATTTTACAAGGACATTATCGGCTATTTTTTTCAGCACTGCTTCCTTTTTGAGATAATGCAATTAGCACGAACTGTTCATCTGCTCACAGCATTCTCCTTCATCCTTCTTCCCTTTCTGTTTTTCCTCTGAGGGATGCTTAAACAGCACTTACTTCCCTCAGTGTTTTCATGAAGATGCAATTAAAGATTAAAAAAGAATACAAGCATTAATGTTATAGTAAAGTTTCAGAAAGTATTTTAATAACCTTTGGAGGGGAAAGAAAAAGCCTATGGCCTATTAATTATAAATTAGTAACTCCATTTGCATTTCAATACTGAATACACAATAGTATACAATGTTCTTCACCATTTTTGTTTATCTTAGAACTTAATTTGAAAGTGTCTTAAGACTAGTTTCCAGCAGCTTTAAAAATTAATATAACATTAATAGAATAGCATTTTTAAAAATGCCATATTGCCTTGTGTGGTCATGTACACCTTTAATCACAGCACTTGGGAGGCAGAGGCGAGAAGATCTCTATGAGTTCAGACCAGCCTAGTCTACAGAGTGAGTTCCAGATCAACCATTGCTACATAATGACGGTGCTACCCTGTCTCAAAACAAAACAAAGAAATATCCAAAATCTGGGTAGTGATGGCGCACACCTTTAGTCCAACACCAGGAGGCAAAGGCAAGCAGATCTTTGTGAGTTTGAACCAGCCTGGCTACAGAGCTAGTTCCAGGACAGCGAGGGCTACACAGAGAAACCCTGTCTAGAAAAACAAAAGACAAACAAACAAGCAAAAAAACATCCAACAAATACCACGTTCTGTCACCCATCTCTGACAGCTTTGATTCTTAGTGAATTTTGGTTGTCTTTATCCATTTTCCCTCTTCCCATTTTGAGCATGAATATTTTGGTGTGTTTCTAAAGATGCTTTAAAGTGTAATTATTTAAAATGCCTCTTAAGATAAGTTTTGATCTATAAATTTTTTGTTATGTCTTTTCTTGTCACCTGTCTCACTTCCTCCTTCCTTTCTTCCTCACTCCACATCCATTCCTCCATTCACCTCTCTATTCATACAGTTAGGAAGCAGATTCCATTGTCCTATAGAAGTTTGTACATTCAGCATATGGCTTGATAAATCCCTGTGACATCATTTTTCATGCTTTATTCTTTATTTCCTTATTTCAGTAAGCTGATCTGATGGTGTTTTGTATTGTTGGAAAGACGGTTTCATCAATTGTGATGTATAACTCTACCAGGCGCTTGTATATTTGGTGATTTTAATGTCTATTGATGATAGTTACCTTACTCTACCAGGACTCCATTTCTTAGTAAAATGCTTCTATAGAGAGACATTTCCCCAAACTAAATATTTCCCTCCCCTCTCTTATTTGAGGGGTATGTTATTACATTTATTTATTTTATTTTATGCGTGTATGTCTTTTGCCTTTGTGTATTTGTGTGCATGAAGCAAGCCTGTGGTGGTTTACAAGAGATGTTCAGCTCCCCAGGAACTGGAATTATGATGGTTGTGAGTTGCTGCATGGGTGCTGGTAATTGAACCTGGGTCCTCTGCAAGAGTAACAAATACTTTTAAGTGCTGAACCTTCTATCCAGCCCCAATATTTATCTGTTGATTATTGATCCCTGAAGTGTGTTGTTTACAGGAATGACAAAACATTTGTTACTCTTTATATACTTCTACTTTTTCTCCCTGAATAAGTTGATCCCTAGCATCCTCCAGATGTGGCCCCTAAGTATTTTGTGTTTTATTTTATTCTTTAAATAACTATAAATTCATGGATTTAAATATTAATAACTGCTAATTACAACATGGAATTCTGGTTGATATTCAAATTATCCCAACCCCAGCCTCAGATTTGAGACACTTTGGTACAAACAGGAATCTGTAGATAGTCCCCTTGTTTTATTTCTGTCAGAGAACAGTATGGTTCCAGTTAATGTTACGTAACTTCTGCCCCAGACTGGGACATTAAAAGGAGCCTGATCTCATTTTAGTGGTTGCATATTTGGGGCCACACTGGGGTAGAGGTGCTTACTATTTGCTGGTGCTGTCATTCGGGGTGTGTTTCTAGCACTTTTAGTGCATATAGACCCAGAGAAAATGTCCATTTTAAGATTAATTTTATGTGTGTGTATAAATATATGTGCCTATATGCAAATGTGGCAACAGGAGGGCACTGGATCCCTCAGATCTAGAGTTACAGATGTCTGTGAGATGCCTGACTTGTTATGTGTATGCTGGGAACCTAACTCTGGACCACAGCTGCACAGCAAGTCTTGACTGCTGAGTCATCATGTCTCCAACTCCTACCACTGGTTTTTAAACATTTTTCTTCTTTTAACCTCAAACTCATGGCAGTCCTCCTGCCTCTGCCTCCCAAGTACTGAGATTATAGGTATGAACCACCATGCATGATAGGAAAGGTATTTTCTATGTATGTATGTGTGTATGTATGTATGTATGTATGTATGTAGTTGTTTATTTATTTATTTATTTTGACACATGGTCTCTTTATGTAGTCTAGAAACTCACTATGTAAACGAGGCTAACATTGAACTCACAGAGATCTTCTAGTTTTTGCCTCCCAAGTACTGGGATTAAAAGCATGTGCCACCATGCCTGACAGTTTCTTGAATGAGACTAAATGGCCAGGTATAGTGTATATGCCTGTTATACCAGCACTCAGTTATCAGAAGCAAGAGACTCCTGAGTTTAAGACCAGTTTGACTACATAGTTAGATCTGATCTCAAAAATAAAAATCTAAATCATAATTTATACAGATATTTCCATTTCAAATACAGACTCAGAGGGATTTACTTCTTTTGCTAGTCTACTTCTTTTCTCTTATGCTGAAAAATCACAATTCTTAAAGATACTACTTATTTCAGAATAAATTATCAGTGGTACTTGTATTACAACATGAGCTAAGACATATGTATTCCACTCAAGTGTAGTTAAATTCTTGCATTTTAATGAAATAATTAATTTCTATCACAGTGACATATAATTTGATTTTGCAGTTGATATTAGGAATTGCTTTAAAAAACTTTGATTTAAAATCATGAAAAATCGGGTGTATGGTTCAGTGGTAGAGTGCTTGCCTATCTGTATGTGTATAGCTCTAATTTAATACACAAAAGGAGAAAGGATCATTACATTCTAAGTAAGCCAAGTGTGGCCGTTATACTGTAGACTTGACACTCAGGAAACAGGTAGGAATAGTACAAATTTGAGGCTCCTGAGCTACGTAGTGAGCAACTGTCTCTAAAGAAACAAGTCCCATAGTTTCAAACCTACATCTATAAAACAAAGTACACTGAAGAGATTTAGCTTCTCTTCCTTTCTGTTCTTGCTTCTTTCCTCTAATGTTTTTTAAATGTTATTTTTTATGGCTTTAATTTCATAAAAACCTAAGATTTTACATATGTGTATGTGTACATACACACATAGATGTTCACAAACTTGTACATAACTGTATACATAGGTATTCACACATACTTGCATGTTTGTACATATTCTCTATATATTTACATAGTTGTGTTTGGGTTTGTATTTAATTATCCATTCATCAGCCCTGAAGTAAATCTAGTTTAGTAGGTTCATACTGTTTACTGCTCTAGTTGGCGGAGTGAACCTGGTAGAGTGGGGACTAAAATTAGGCAGACTAAATGCAATACCCAACATTATTCAGAGCATCAGAGAATTTATACTCCAAGGCTTAATAAAAATCACCTAAGGTTTTCAAGCACAAAGACAAGGCACAAAGGCATATAAAGTCAACACACTACTATCCGCTACATCTGGAAGGAGCATGGAAACATTCCAAGAACAATTCTGTGTTTATGAAGAACCTGGAGCCTTGTTTTCTTGGAGTTTTCTCACAAGCACTCAGAATTCCCCTTCATGACTATTCTAGCACTGTTCGCACATGCTTCTTTCATCCTTTTGTTTTACATTAGCATGTCCTAGAGTCGGTCAAGACCACTTACCTCCTGTATTACTATCAATATGGACAGCTTAATGAACTTTCAAACAAGGACTGCTTTTTGACCTTCAAAGTGCTAATATAATAAGTGTGTTTTCTTTTTTCATGGGATTATTTTCAGATAAGTCACAAAGCATGTAATGTGTATGTTTTCTTAAGTTAACTTATCTGTTAAGACTCTTATCAGTTATAGAAAATGAGATCACATAAAAGTATCTTTCATTTACTTAAGATTCTTAGAAAAAAGGTAAAAAAAAGTTCCCTCTAGTTGTCTTATTATTTCTCACTGTACCAAATATGTTATTTGTTTGACATTAAATTTGCTCAAGGGAGAAATAGTCCTATCAAAGGTCTTTTGGAGAAAAATATTTTATTTTGTTTATGTATATGTCTTGAGTGCCTTCATATATGTGTGTGCACTGGAGTTACTGCTGGTTTCAGCTGCCTGATGGGGGTGCTGGGAACTAAACCAGGGACATCTAAAAGAGCTTCAGGTGCTCTTAACCATTGAGCAATCTCTCCAGCCCTAGCTTAGGTTGTAATTAAATACTGAGGCTAGTTCAAGACTAAATAAATCTTCAGTACAGTGACAAATCTACATGTATAGCATGAGGTATTAAGAAGTGCCCCCATCTACTTTCAGAAAAACTTAAGTAATATGAACTTAGCAATATGTATGTTTCAAAATGAAGATAAGCCAAAGAGTGATCACCTGATAGAGGAGTTTGTCCATCATGCCAGTATTGTATCTGCATGTGATGAAGACAAGGAATAAGCACTTTTGAGTCTTCACTGTGCCTAAGCCCTGTATAGGAATACTGTGGTGAGGTACACAGGGTATAGAAGATAGTTTGTGCTTTTGACTTCTACTATGTACTCTATGTCTACCTCTGCTTCTTCATGTGAAAAAAAAAGTTTAGAGTTGATGAAAGGGAGTCAGCTATGGAAGGCAGAGATACATAGTTAAAGTCCAAATCTATCAATGAATAAAGTGTGTAACCTTGGAAAAGTTACTAAAGCCCTCCGGTCTCCTTTCCCATGGCTAACTACCCTGTATCTCCTAGAGTTGATATGGCTACTGTTTGGGACATCATTTATATGTTTAATACTGTCTGAATGGACACTTAAAATGCTGACATTAAACCAAAGCACATTTTGTTAATGTATTTTAAAGTGCCATGTTTTTGATACACAGGATTATTCATCACAAATGCCTTAATATTCCTCCCTAGTATACTTCTGTGCATTTCTTGTATTTTTGGTTGTGAGTCTAGCTTTTAATGGCCTAGTCATTGCTCCTGCCCACTTCTGCACATTTCTAAGTTAGTGTTAAGACATGATGGGATTGATATTTGCAACTGGTATAACTGCACTATAGAGTTGGACTTGAGTGGTTATATAAACACATACATGTATGCATGTATGTCTGTATGAATAACATGTATAAGTGGTTTCATAAGAGAGTGAAAGCTGTTTGTTTAAATGTAGGATCTGTTTGGAAAGTCAGATCCATACCTGGAGTTTCACAAGCAGACCTCAGATGGCCACTGGCTGATGGTTCACCGAACAGAAGTAAGTACTTGAATCTAAAAGTAGAAATGTTGTTTTTTTGGCATTATTACAACAAGAATTTTAAAAAACCTCTCTCTACACACACACACACACACACACACACAGTTGTTTTTGGAACATGGTTTTTTCTTATAGGGTTGTCTGTCCTGGAACTTACAGTATACACCAGATTGACCTCAAACTCACAGAAAATATTCATTTTAATTCAGATTTACATGAAATCAGAGATATATCAATATTCTTATTTGCTTACTCTTTTCTCTTAAAAAAGACATACTGCCATGCTTAATTGTTTTCATTTTTGAAAAACTTAACATTGTATAAAGAATACTAAATATATTCTTGCTTGTTCTCTCTCTCTCTCTCTCACACACACACACACGCACACGCACACACACACACGAAGACAATTTATTTTTCCTTTGGAAAACCATCCTGATGTAAGCTATAAGCTTACATCTAGATTCCCTTTAAATGTTGCATCAGACTCTTTCAGGAGTAAAAGCAGCCAGAAGTGGGGACACACACCATTAGTCTCAGTACTCTGGAGGCAGACAGAGCTGTATGAACCAGTTTTGTCTGCAAATTAAGTTCCAGCCCAGCCAGCCTACGATACCCTCTCTCAAAAAAATCAGGACTTGCTGTTTCACTGTACCTAAGAAAATTGCCATCTATTTACTAATGCCATTCATACCAAGATTTCCTCTGAGTTGAGCACATTTTATATAGATTGTGTTTGTCTAGGTCCAAAGAAAGGCTCACGTTGTACATTTTCCCAGTAGGCTCACAGTTATAAGCTTATTTTTACCTGCCTATACTTGGATACCATGGAACAGCTTAAATTATTGAGACTAGAATGGATTCTAGTATTTTCTCACAACTAGATCCACATGAAACATTGTGTCAAGAATGCTCCATATGTTCCATTCATGGTGTTCAGACTACACAGTGCTGATGATGTCAGGCAGTTTGTTAAAGCTAGTGATCATCAGCTCTGAGAGTCGTGAAGTCCTGTGTTTTCTGTTTATAATTTGTAAGGTACTTGTGGTGTGATACTTTGAGGATGCATGAATTGCTTTTCTCTAGCACTTTTCCCAGTGGTTTCAGCAACCACTGATGATCCTTGGTTTGGTCCATTGTATTGGGGCTATACAGTAGTGAGTCTTGTTTTCCTCAAATCACCATTGTATTAATTACTCTTCTAGTACTGTGATAAAACACCATGATGAAGGCAACTTATTGAAGGAAGGGCTTATTGGGATTTACAGTTTCAGAGGGATATGAGTGGAGATTTGACCACTGGAAGTGGAAGCTGAGAGCTTGCATTTGAACCTCAAGCAGGAAGTAGAGAGAGTGAACTGGGAATGTTGTGTCTTTGAAACATCAAAACCTTCCTCCAGTGAGCATATGTCCTCTAGCAATGCCACACCTTCTTAACCTACGTAAACAGTCGTGCCAAGAGGAAAGTAAGTGTTCAAACACCTTTGACTGTGGAGGACATATTGCTTAAGCCACTGCGATCATTATGTCTACATTAGCAAGCATTTTTCCTTTTCATTTTAAAATCACAGATTGTCATCATATACTAATATTTGTACTGCTTAAATCCAAATTTGATGAAGGAGTACTTCTTCAATGGATCCTAAGTTTTTCAGCATTGATAGAATGTTTATATTTTTATGCTAATATTTTCTTCTGTTTCGGAGTTAATAGGGGCCAGTTCTTATCATACGAAGTAGACATCAAGATCTGAGTGCTAGATGTGTTAATCTATACTAGGATGTCATTTTTGTATGTCTATGTAATATTTATATTTAATTTTCCAATTCATGTTCAGCCCAGCAAGGTTATCTTTTTAATATTTTTAAATTGTATATGGGTGTTTTATTTACATATATGTCTATGTACTATGTGCACACAGTGTCAGTAGAGGTCAGAAGGGGACATTGGATGGCTTGGAACAGGAGTTACAGATGGTTCTGAGTCACCATGTGGGTGCTGGGAATCAAACTTGGGTCCTTTGGAAGAGTGCCACATCTCTCAATTGCTGAGTTATTTTCCCAGGACTCATAAGGTTCATTATTATCTGGCTCTATTTTTTAATCCTCTGGGACTATGGTGAAATGCCTTGTTTCAAAAAATCCATGTGCTACCATTTCTAAGTATACATTGTTATTAGGTAGATATTTTCCAAACACCTTTCTTCTTTACTCAGAATGTACTACAGTTATCCTACTAATTTTTCTTGGAAACAGTTGAGTGATAGGGTGAGGAATGAGTGTAAGAATGTAGGAAGAACCCAGAGAAAGATACTAAGGAACTGCATGTTCTAATACATCCTTTATTCTTTGCAGGTTATCAAAAACAACCTGAATCCTGTGTGGAAGCCTTTTAAAATTTCTCTTAACTCTCTGTGCTATGGGGATATGGACAAAACCATTAAGGTAATTTGAAATTATTACTCAGGTAGTATGTAGTTTACTATGGGATTATGTCCTAATAAACAAATCATATGTAGAAATCCTCCTGTTAGACTAAAGGTGTAGCTTGGTTAATGATTGCTTAGTGATCTTGAGGCCCTGTGTTTGAGGGGAGAGACGGGGAGAAAGGAAAGAAGGGAGGAAAGGGAGTACAGCAGGGAAGAAATTATATTTGAAGTACATTTAACATACCTAACTTATGAAATTACAGCAACCCAGTATATACTATTAAGTGTTGGTATTTACCATGGTGATCCTGTGGCTGACTGACTACAGGTTTGGCTTGCTGCCACTGTCCAGCATTACAAGAGAATCATCACATGTTGCTAGTGCAGGGAAACATTAAAATTCAACACCAGAGTAGTGTCTACTGAATGGTGTCACCTTTACGCCATTGTAAAGTAAAAAACTTAAGGCATACTATAACAACTCAGACACTATATATAACTCTTACTAATGAATAAATTTTTACCTACTATCTAAAATCAATATGTAAGGTAGCATTTAAAAAATGATATTATAGGCATACGTATTTGACTATAGTTGTTGTCTAATATGTTGACTTAATGTTTAAGAGTGCAGCGTAATTTTCATTTTAACTTGATTAAAAAAATAAAAGCAGGTGCTAGTTATTCTGAGATCTCAGAACCTTCCTCTTGTTATGCAGAAAAACAGTGGAGGCATTTAGGGAAAAGGAAAAGCAAATCATGTCTCTACAGCTACTTTAAATGTTTTTATTGGTAGCTATTTACCAAACAAAGTAAAACCCTAACCAATCAGTCATTGAACACACACACTAAAGCACTCTGTGTGTGTGTGTGTGTGTGTGTGTGTGTGTGTGTGTGTGTGTGTAAACCACCAACATGCTTTCCTTTCTATAGATGAGTTCTGTCTGAGGATCAAACTCAGCTGAGAGTCTGTCTTAACACAAATCCTTCTAAAAAACTTCTTACCTTTACACCTCAACAGATGAAGGTCTTGTTGGTGTTCCTTATTGTAATTAATACAGTAAAACCAGGAAATATGATAGGAAACAGGATAACATAACAGCATGGTTTGGGGTCAGATCATAGCTTACATTTCAATTTAGCTGTTTAACCAGGTAAAGGATGTTGAGTAGGTCACGTAACCTCCTTGCTGGTAAAGTAGATAGTAATTTCTACTGTACACGAGAATAAATAGAATATTGAAAGTGAAAACATTGTAATGGGTAAAACAGCAGCAGAGATGCTGCTATTATTAAAAGCCACTAAAATTTCTGAGCTTTGGAAGGAGTTGTCCCTAGCTCATAGGGAATTTAAAAAGTTATTGTTAAGTGTGATTTGTATGATGTGTCAAAGAGCAGTGAAAATATAGGTATGGTATAAATATGTAAATATACTATGAATTATATGTTATCAAAGTAGCTACAAATTCTAACTTAAAGACAAATCTAGAGAGTACAGAAGTTTATGACTTGACTATTTGATTGTTTCTGACAAATTAATAACAAAACCATGTTTCTAAAACATTTTTTGCTCACAGTGGCATGCTTGCAGGGCCAATTTGCTCTAGTAAGTAAACTGATTTTCTGAGCTTTGTCTGATAAATGTCTTCCATTCTTAAGTCTCTCTGGTTTTAGTGATACACACTTGGTTTGCTCCATCATCACTCACTTTAGTTCTCTAGTTCTGTATTTCTTTGCAATATCAGATAGGCACACATCTGCAATTTACATACTACTTGGATATTACTTAAAGATATGGTAAAGAATTACAGACCAGAGAATAAAGTCAGAATTTTCTGTGGGTTCCATTGTGTTGTCACTCTAGCATGTATTATTTTTAAAAGATGAAGAGAGAAGAGAAATAATCATGCATGCTGCCACCTTGCCTAAAGTGAGGAACATTGTGTGGTGTGTGCAGTTTTTTTACATATATACATGTGTTCTTGTGTATATATGCATACATTTAAATTTTACAAGTTTTTCACATACTGTTGCTTACATAGTGAATAGTACTGGTGTTTAAATTGCTGCAAAGAAAGAAAGATGGTATGACTCATCTTACCTCAGCCTTGGTCTGTACATACTTGGGCATTGAGGATGTTAGGTGGCCTTGAAAGGACAAGAAGGAGCTTTTCCATTTATTTCCTGTAGTGAGTAATCAGAATTGGAGGGTAAAGTGTAAAGATGTAGTTTCTACTTCCTTAAGTTTTAATTGGTCTAAACTTTTTCTTTTAATGTTTTAGTCCTTACTAAGGTATAACCAAATCTTAGTTATTTCTGTGGAATCTAAAATATAAAGTTTCATTTTGCTGTAGTTTAAGAATGTCTGATAAAAGTGATCTCATTCAAGAATTAAGATGGTTGGTTTTCTGCCTTCTTGAACTTTTGCTTCCTTTAAGAAAAAAAATCAATTATTTTTTTTCCCTTGACAGTGTTACTCAGATAAAGGTAGTTGGTTTAAAATTGGGTATTGAATATGTAGGACAGGAGTCAAATTGTCAAATTTGGTCATGTCCAAAAATATCTATAAGACATTTCCTTAAACAAGGCACTTTGCAATTCTAGAATGTGCCCATTTTGATTGATTAATTGATCGATCGATTGATTGATTTTAAGTGTTTCTAAAAGATAATGAAAATACAGGTAATGAATGAAAGACTTAAGTGTACTGGCTTATTTTATGTCAACTTGACACCAACTAGAGTCATTTTGAAAGAGGAAATCTCATTTGAGAAAATGCCCCCACTAGATTCACGTATGGGCAAGGCTGTGGTGCATTTTCTTGATTGATGAATGATGTGGTAGGGCTCAGCTCATTGTGGATGGTGCCACCCCTGGGCAGGTAGTTCTGGGTTCTGTAAGAAAATAGACTGGATAAACCATGAGGAGCAAGCCAGTAGGCAAGTACACCTCCATAGCTTCTGCATCAGCTCCTGGCTCCAGGTTCCTATCCAGCTTGAGTTCCTGTCCTTCCTTCGTTTGATGAAGAACAGGGATGTGGAAGTGAAATAAACCCTTCCCTCCCCACATTGATTTTGGTCCTGGTGTTGAATCACAGCAACAGAAACCCGAACAAAGACATCTAGTTTATGAAAAGCAGTCAGTATGTAGAACTGAGAAGAAATGTGTCGTACTTTGGTGGGTCACTGCAACCTCATGGAGGTGGGAAGTCTGGTGCAGCTCTCACCAAGGCAGATGCAGACTCTTCTTGTTGGACACTTCTGCTTTGAAGTGCAGTCTCCAGAAGTGTCTTTGGTGTGAGATTTTACTTTGTCCCTGTCGCTTACCACACAAGATGCATCTGATGGCTTTTTGCCCTTAATTCCTTCAAGACCCATTTCTGAAAAATGGGACTGATAATAGCAGCATCTCCATTCTTTGTTAACTCTTTGGTCTAGCTAGAGAAAATGCACTGTATATACATTAAATATCCATGTAAATGAATTGATGTGTTGAAATTATGTGTTAGAAGTTCACATCCCTGTCTTCGTTTTTTTTTTTAGCTTGCCTTTAACACAGCACCTTATTTTCCCATTGGAAAGTTCTAGCATTCTGGTGAATATTTACTTTTTCTTCCATCTGCCAATTAACACACACACACACAAGCAAACAAACAAAATCCCTACTAAGAGCAAACATTTTTTTTTTCTGAGACAGGCAGGGTGGGAAGGAGAAAAGGGGAAGAAGTAATGTGAGTTGAATAAGATTCAGATCTGAGGTTAGATCTCTAGAAATCGACATTTCTTCCTTCATACATGGGATCAGAGTAAGTGTGACCTAGCGTGGATACTTTGGTGAGCTGACTGTTCTCATCCTAGAGTTTTCCTTTATGTTGTAAGCTTTCCAATCTTCAGACCAACTCTGACTATCATGTCTAACTCATAATTATAAGCTCAGCCTCCTTGGATTGTAGCTGATCAGACATGTTTCCTGTAACTCTAAATTATCTAGGACTTAGTTGTGTCATTTTTAGCTGTTAGGATAGTGGCTTCTAGGTCTTATACAGTGATAATTAAGTAAAGCAAATGAAAGACTAGGCATAATTGCATTTAGTCTTCTATCCGCATCTACAGAGAGCACAGTAGAGTAACTGGGAACTGCTTCCTGTGTGAAATGGTGTCCATATTTGTGGTTTTCATCTTTTGTAATCTAGGTCCTGTTCTCTGGATAACTGTGGTTTGAATATGCTTCAGAATTGCTTCTCTAGATAGATTGGAGGAATAGATGTTCCTCCAATTAGACACTGAAATTATGGGGTTTTTTCCCTTATTGTAATTAAAACAGCACATTTTATTATAGCCAATACTTTTTAATATAGTTATACTGATTTTTGTATACTTTTATTATATTTAAATCCAGGTAGAGTGTTATGACTATGACAATGATGGATCACATGATCTTATTGGAACATTTCAAACCACCATGACAAAACTCAAAGAAGCCTCCAGAAACTCCCCTGTAAGTTATACGTTTGCGGTTATAGAAGCACTATAGTTTACCTGTTCATTATTTTATGCTTTTCTTAGGCTTGGCAATTAGTTTATCATGGTTTTGTGCTATATTGCATTAAATCTTAAAAATCTTTAACATTTATGTAACAGTCATCAAAAATTCTTACATGAGGTATATGTCTTATTGAGTGGTCACCATGTAATGGTGACCAATGCTAGGTGAGGGCTCCAAACTACAGGGAAGAAAGCAAAGACCATTGTGTATCATATCTAGGAGTGGAAATAGCCTTTCCTCTTGTGTCTAGGAAGGGAAAATATTATAGTCCAGGGCTTGGATGAAGCAATGCTTTGCCCACATAGGGAAGACAGAGCACGATCAGCTTCAGTGGTAGCTGTGAGTTCTCTATGATGGACTAAGCAGGACATATGTCCTGTGATCTACATGTGTACCCTTCCTGTTCCTTCATGGAAGGACTTCACCCTTCCTTGCAGCATCTAAAATATAAAAATTAGGGGTAAGTCGTTGATGCACTAATTTAAGTAAACCATGGTAGTCATTGATTCTGAAACCTGGAAAGGTTTCCCTTATGGGGAATCTACCAGAGAAAGCTGCTCAGACATGGATTTAAACCATAGAAAGCCTTTGTTAGTGGACTGGTGACCGCACAGGGTGTTCGAGATTCCATTGTGGCACAGAACCTTTCTTGGTGCTTTTAAGCACAAAAAACATGTTCAGGGTTGACATACTTCATTCAGAGTGGGTAGCCAGCAGCAGAACTGCAGAAGCCAAAAAGCAAGGGTAGTGCATTTAGAGACTTTCCCAGAGCTATGGACTTTGATAAATTATGTCTTTGTTTTCATTTTGGCTGGTGGTGCTGTCTATTTGCTAAGTTTTATGGACTGAACGGTACTTCCATCATGGAGTCAGTTGTGCTAAGGTCTGAGAGCCTGTTACACTTCCACAGAGAACAAAAGGCTGTGAGGAGTGTATCTTTTGGTAAGGAAATACCTTAGGCTCAAGATTCATGCACCTGAGACTGCCATTCTTATCAAGTTTCTATTTATTAGAAGTTTAATTTCTTGTGACCACAGGATGGACTTTGTGTATTTCTATTCTGTTCATTTTTTTCCCTTAGCATGCTTTTGTTTTGCATTGCTCACAACATTAACGTTTAGTTCCTTTTTTCTTTTTCTTTTAAGATTTGATTTTAAGGGAAAAGGTTCATTAAAATTCATTTGGTTATTGCTAGTGAAAAATTTACCATTTCATTTTCTTCTCACACAGGTTGAATATGAATGCATAAATGAAAAAAAGAGGCAAAAGAAAAAAAGCTACAAGAATTCAGGTGTTATCAGTGTAAAGCACTGTGAGGTCAGTTGTCCTTGGCCACTTGTACTGAGTTCACTTTCGGAGTTTTTGTATCAGTGTGGTTTTACATCAAACAAGTACTTTAAGTAGCTCAATCTCATGAGCATGTGATCATCTTGGGGAAAAATGGGATTTGAAATAATAAAATTTTCAAGTAACTCGGCTTCAAGTTTGAAAACTTTTAACATATATATGTCTATAGATTTATTTAATGTATATGAGTGTTTTTCCTGCATGTAGGAATGTAGACTATGTGTGAGGTGTATGCACATGTGTGCAGCGATCTATTGAGAACAGAAGAGGGTATGAGGTGTCCTGGATCAGGAATTACAGATAGTTGTGAGCCTCCATGTGGGTGCTGGGAACCAATCTTCCCAACTAGTCTCCTTTTACTTTCATGCCCCCCTACTGTGTGTGTGTGTGTGTGTGTGTGCGCGCGTCTGTGCACACAGGCATGCATGTATGTGGTTAACTCAGTGAGTTTTGCTAGGGTTATTTACAGGAGCATGAGTAGCATACCAGTGGTGACTCCTGAATAAAGTGTCTCTCACTCCTTCAGTCATTAACAGCTTGTAAATTCTCAGGAAGGGCCAGACATTGTGAGCCCTTCTTCTGATATTTTAACCTTAATACTGCTTAAGTTGTAGTAAAGTCTTTATAAGTCCTGACATTTTGGGGAGGAGTTCTATATGCTCAAATGTGAGGTTGATTCCACGTATTTATGTCATGTCATGTTCAGCTTACAAACTCTGATATATGTATACCAAGGAGCCTTGTAGCATGAATAATAAAAACCCAGAGACAGATACTGGCGTTCAAGCTGAAGATCAGAGAAAGCAAAGTAGCCAGCCACTAGCTCTTACCTCTTAGACCAAAAGGGCAATCCTGGCCTCATATTGCATCTTCACTGAGTTGCTCCTCAGACTCACTGAGACTAAATGCCACATGGGACCCTGATACTGTCTTATATGTAACTCTCTAGTGCTGGGAATAAAGGCACACACTATCACCACCCAGTCTCTACGGCTAATTAGTGTGACTAATGGGATTAAAGGTATGTACCACCACTGCCTGGCCTCTATGGCTGTGGCTAGCTTTGCATTCTGATCGTCTGGCAAGTTTTATTAGATCATAAACAATATATCACCACATAGCCCTTCGTTTCTCTTGTGCAGATGGGGAGTTCTGCTTATTTTTTTCCCCCTTTGGTTTTCAAGACACTGTTCTCAGTTTAGCCCTGGCTGTCCTGGAACTTGCTCAGTAGACCAAACTAACCTCAAACTCAGAGATCTGCCTGCTTTTGCCTCCCAAATGCTGAGATTAAAGGTGTGCCCCATCACTGGCAGAGTTTAGCTTTAACATACATGTGTTTTTGTTTTTAGATTACTGTAGAATGCACATTTCTTGACTACATCATGGGAGGGTGCCAGCTGAATTTTACTGTAAGTAATACTGAGTTTTCTAGCATTGGCTGTTAGATGTTGCCTGCCCCCCACCTCCATTTTGCAGAATTCTTTTACTGTCACGCTGCCTTTGTTATGAAATTTACATGATCTGTTTAACATGATTTCCTCATGGACCATCTAGGTTCATCATGGAAATTTTGACTAGGTTGATGAGTTGATGAATAATCTCTCCCTCTTTAGAGAAAGCAGATATGCATATCCTGAAGCAATTTAAGGAATAGAAAACAAACATGGAAAAACAGCCCCCAAATATGGGTCATTACATGCAGTGGTTCATGATTCTTCAGTCTAGTAAAAGAGTCATGCTGAGGCCTGTTGAATTGTTTGTAGAAATGCTGTGGGCATTTGTTAGGAGATGGCAATAGAGACTCAGGGATGCTTTGAACTCTTGTCTGACATTCTCTTGGACCTCGAGCTCAGGTAGCCCTCCCTTTACTTTAGTAAGAACTTTTGTCTTGGCAGGTGGGAGTGGACTTCACCGGCTCCAATGGTGACCCCAGGTCTTCAGATTCCCTGCATTACATCAGCCCTAATGGTGTTAATGAGTACCTGACTGCCATCTGGTCTGTGGGATTGGTAATCCAAGATTATGATACGTGAGTATAATTTTGGAGATACACAAGTACATATTTCATAATTCCTTAGAAAGGGCACTTTCTGTTTCATCAGCTAGTGTGGGACAATTTGGATGTTAGAACAGCATTCTTTCTCAAATGTCTCATCTTTTTATTGCTCTTTGAACTTCACACTTGCTGTGACTAGTTATAATGTGTTCTATATAGCTTCTGCACTTAATGGTTGGCAGAAGTCAGCAAGACTCATTTATTGGATTTAATTTCTTGGAGTTTTAATCAGGGGTAAGTTGTATATGTGATTAAAATCTAGATGATAATAATCTTATAAATAGTAATAAAATTGTTCTCAAAATATATACATGTTCCTCTCAATAATGAAATTATATTTATTTATTAATTCTGAGAAAAGTCTCATTATATCCCTCCCTGGCTTGGAACTCAGTATGTAGACCAGCCTGACCTTGAAATCAGAGGTCTGTCTACTTTTGCCTTGAAAGTACTGGAATTAAAGAAGTGCATCCCACACTCTGCTGAAAATATTTTTAAACTGGAGCTTTTGATGAGACTAAAAAGCTTCTTAGCCTAATTGCTACAAAGTATTCTGAATGAATTTTCAGTAGGTAGACGTTGAGTAGATTTGGGGACCTGGGTGCATTTTGAATTGTAGAACTAGTACCTAGTCTGTGCAAAATCATGGGTTCAATTCTCAGTCATAGAACTGTATGACTACTACTACTACTACTACTAAAAATAATAATAATGATAGTAAATTTCTTTTAATAGCTTGCCTGTGCCAGAGATCATTTTATTAGTCTGAATAGATGATGAGCCATTGATGGCAATTAACAGGTCATCAAAGAACCACTCCCGAAAAGGGTACCAGGCCGGGGTAGTTTCACACATGAGTTCTTAAAAAAGTGTAATTAATAAATTCAAACCTAAAGGAGTAAAGTTTTAAAAATTAGAAAGTATCCAGAGTTCAGAAAAAGGGGCAAATACAAAATAAGAAAAAAATTAATTTCTCACTAGCCACAACAAAATTGTATTGTCAAATTAAGCTAATGAGGTAAATTATACTCACTAACAATTTCAGTGAATAAAGATCAGAGTACAAGTCATAGAAATGAATAGAATTTTTTGTAAAATAGCTCAGATTTTTAGTGATTTACAAAGTTGTACTGAAGAAATAATGATGTGAAATGAAATATCTTTCACAATTAATCAGTTTAAATCAGAATTTCAGTAGAATCCTGACAAAACGAGTCTTAAAATTCTCTAGATAGGATTCAGAATCATCAGACACTTTTCTAAAGGAACAAAGGGAGGGAGGGACAAAGGCAAGAGGGATTTCCTTTAGCAGTTTCTTTGCTTGGTTTTTCTTTTAAACTTTTAAAAGGATTTACTAATTTTATGTGTATGAGTGTTTATGTGTATGAGTATATGTGTACCATGTGTGTGCCTGGTGCCTGTGGAGGTCAGAAGAAGGATGCATTATGAAGATTGTGAGTTACCATGTAAGTACTGGGAACCAAGTGCTTTTAATCTCTGAATAACGCTAAGTCCTGCTCTAGCAGCTTTTATAATTTATTATATTATATGTAGAGTATACTTGACCAAATGAACCAAGCATATAGGTTAAGAAATAGACCTGTGTGTAAATGTATGTGAATTTAGTGAGAATAACATCTAAGAGGAAGGGATTGTAACAGCAGCATAGTGGTGCACACCTTTAATCCCAGAACTTGGGAGGCAGAGGCAGAGTTTGAGTCCACCCTGGTCTTCATAGTAAGTTGCAAGACAGCCAGAGAGCTACATAGTGAATTTGAATACACAGTTCATGCTTGCAAAATATGATAACCCACACATATTGTAAACTTGAAGTAGATAACTCCTCAACAAATCAAACTTGCAAAATAGCAGTAAGCTCAGGACTGTTGGACTTTTTGCCATACTCAACTTATAGTTTCTATTCATGGTGACAAGATCTCTGCTCTTCTTTGGAAGAGGAGAAATTGGTCTAGAAGTACATATGTGTTTTGTCTTAGAGCTGTGATTTGATGCTGCTGAAAAAAATTCTTCTACTCATATCTCCCTAGGCTTAGAACCTAGCCACCTGGTTAGAGTAAGAGTAGTCACCGCCTCAAGTGTCTGTTATTAAAGGGGGAGTGCTGTTGGTGGGAAGCTGCTGTTTTTGCTTCATAGCCTTCTAAAAAAGCACATTGAAAATTAGTGTTTTCCAGTGTAGCATTGGCATTAGTATAGGGAGTGCTAGGTAATTTTTTGTTTACAATTTTTTATGGCTTTGAATTTTTTAAAATATAAAAGCTCATACTATTTTTAGTATTAATAAATACATTTTTTAGCAAAAAATTGTTTGATCTTTTTTCTTTTTTAGTGACAAGATGTTTCCAGCTTTCGGCTTTGGAGCTCAGGTGCCTCCTCAGTGGCAGGTACTTTTTTTTCTTTTACTTTACTGATTCTTTGTGGATTTCATATCATGCATTCCAGTCTCACTTATCTCCTGTCCCCTCTAATCTGCCCTTGCAACCTCCCCCCAGAACAAAGTTAAATTTAAAAGAAAAAACCCAAAACAAAACAAACAACCCAGTGTGGCCTACTGCAAGGAATGGGGCCAGTTCTCCTGCTCTTAGGTCTCAGATCCAGGTCTAGGTAACCCACACTTACACCACCAGGGCCAGCTCTACTGTTTTGCCCAGGCAAGTTGCAGGGCCCTGTCTCCTGACTGCTGTAGGTGGTGGGGTGGGGGCTGGGTGTCAGCTCTTCTACTCTCATGCCTGGAGGGCAGGCCCACTTGTGCATTGACAACTGGGTCAGTTCTGATGGGATGCTCTCCTGTGTGTTCCAGCTGGTGAGGAGGAAAGCTAGTTCTCTCACTCTAGTGACCCTAGGGCCAGCTCTCTCACTACCACAGGTAGCAAGTGGGAAGGGCATCTTTCTTTCACCTATGCCTCTTTGTGGCAGACAAAGAGTCTGCCCTCAAAACTGGCTCACCTGTGTTCCTGACAAAAGGGCCAGCACTAGTGTATTGCCCAGGTGAGATGCATGCCTGTGGTGAGGGATGGGGTGATGTGGGGAGTGGGGGTTGGAGGATGATGGTGGAGAGGGCAGCTCTCTCCTGAGGGGTGGGGCCAGCTCAGCATAACATAGTTCCAATGCCCCCCCACCTCCGCCCTAACACAGGCCAAGAATATCACTGACACCCCAGCTGCTGTAGGACCATAGACTCAGACATGGCCTTTGGCAGCAGTTCAGGTCTAGAAGTCACCATAGGTTACAGGGATTTTAGGCCACAGGGATCAGTATGGTCCCAGTGGCCGCATGGCAGTCAAGTACTAATATGGTCTCAGACAGCTGACTGGACCCTGGGCATCTGCAGATCCCTCCGTGGTAACAGAAACCATGGACATCACCCCAGATCCCAGCTACTGCAAGGACACAGACCCAGATAGGGCCATAGGCCCAGGCCTGTCTGATTAGACACGGACCCAGACATAGTCCTAGGCAGCAGCCCAGACCACTTGATCAGCGTGGCCCCCATGGTGCTGTGGCCCTTGGACACAAGCATGGCCCCAGGTGGTAGCTTAGATTGTTGGCCTGGCCTTCAGTGGTCTCAGGAACCAAGGACATCAACACAGACCTCAGCTAAGCCAGGGCCATGGACCCAGATGACTTCAATTGTCTTGGCCCTGGCAGTGACCCAGCCCTCAGACACCAAGGTGGTCACAGGTTTTGGCCCAGACCTTGGGCATCCACGAAGCCTCCCCCTGGTCCTTTGGGCAAGGTGCATCAACTTATGCCCAAGCTGTGGTAGGATCATGGACCCAGACAAGGTTGTCAGCAGCAGCCCTGGCCAAGCTATCACCGTGGCCTTAGGGAATATCTAAGGCCACCCAGATTGGTGTGGCCCCTGTGCTAGCATGGCCCTTGGACACCAATATGGCTTCTGGTGGTGGCCCAGACTGAAGGACCCCTCACAGGCCTCAGTGATATCAGGAGCCACAGACATCAATTCAGGACCCCTTGAGTGCTTCAGGCCCTCAGACAAAGATCTGGCCCTTGGGTATAGCCAGGCCCAAATGTCACTCAGGTGACTAGCAGGCCATTCACATCCTCACCACTGTTGCCTCTTCAAATTTGCACCTGTCCTGCCCCCCCCCACTCCCTCTCTTCCATTTCCCCACCCTGTACTTGCTCATCATAATGGTGCCCTACTGCCCAGTGCCACAGCTCTTGGTTGGGTCACGGGCGGGGCATGGTTGAGTCCTGCTTCCCCCAGTTATGAGGCATGGTGTGGAGCTGTTGCTTTTTGTCTCTTGCATGTCTTGTGCCAGAGGCATTAGGCAGGCTTCTAGTTGATTTGCTACTCCAAACCAAAAAGTCATCTGTGTCCCCCACCCGCTCAGGCCTGGATAGGGTTGAGCTGACAGGAAATTACCTTTCAAAGTTTTTTTCTGGACTAGCAAAACAGAGGCCTCACCAGCCTTTTTTTTTTTTTTTTCTCTTGACAGGTGTCTCATGAATTTCCGATAAACTTTAACCCATCTAATCCCTACTGTAATGGTAAGTAAAGCCAAAAAGTCAGACCACTTTTTCAGGTTAGAATTGCTCAGTTCATCTCTAACTTTCAGGTTGTGACCAATTTAACTTTCTGTTGTATATACTAGAAAAATTGGCCCAGCTTGGTGATTACAGTGGTAAAGATAATTATGGGGCAAATCAGTATTCGGATGATAAAGTAAAGGTATTTTCACATGTAAATTGACTATAAAATAAACTCCATAAATGAGTTGAGTATTGAAGACTGGAGAGAACTTTGAGAGCAGCAATCACTCTTCTCAAGAGAAGTGTCAGTCTTCACATTGTTTGCACTTGCACAGTATTCTAGGACAGTGACAAGAACAGAGCTGAGCTCCTAACACGTCTCTGTCGACAGCAGGAAGCTGGTGCTTGTCTTTCATTTCATGTTTGACTTTATACTTCAGATGTACAAGTGCTTCCTCTTTAAAATAATTTGAAAAGTCAGATTGAACAACCAACCTGAAATACCAAGACTCCTACTAAATTATGTAAGACTGAATGTTTCGGAGCAGGAAAGGTAGGTGTGGGGTTGGAGACACTAATTAAAATTCTAGGATCTAAATTGATATTCTGCAAAGGGTCCCTTTTTAGCATCTACGAAGTGCATAGCTTTTAGAGACAAAGGTATTCTTTCCTTCTCTTTGTAAATAATCACAAGTTGGAAGATCACAGGGCCGCTTATGGGGGCAGTTTTCTTAAACATTTTCTTCTTTGTTCTAAGATGCCTTTTCTATACTAATTAATTCAGTACTCCTTTGAGGCACTTTTGGTACATGGTTGTGACCTCTTTCATGTCTAGATATTTGTAATTGAGTTTATTTTAAAGATGTGCTTTTGTTAGTGTGTTCTTCTTGGTGTCTGATTTTATTTAAGTTTTTAATGATAAAGTTTGTAAAACCATTTGTTAAAAATAAAATAAGAAATGTTCTTGGTGCTTATCTGAGATTGGAATTGTTTTGGAATATAGATGACTTATGTCATTTTAGAAGTTTTTTGCTCTGTAAGTAGTGTGAACCCATCCTTGGTCAGCTCATCAAGCAAATAGCCTTTTCACTTTAGGTTTATAGTCTGGAAAAACAACCAATTTGGTTATAGATCAAAGATATGCTATATAGAAAAAGTAACCTATTTTAAGACACCAAAGTTAAATTCCCTTTTTAAAAGATATCATTGAGTCTAGTTCCCTAGAAAAAAAACCATTTCATTTATTGCTTTAATGCAAGGAAGGAGTTCAGTATTGTGCAGTTTTAGGTGAGTAGTTGGAGACTTTATATTTGTGAAGAGAGTAAATTGTTAAAACCTTCAGGGTACAAAGCAAGCATAATAATACAAATGAGGAAAATACTTTTGTCTTTATCCATGTTCTATTGCTGTGAAGAGACAAGGATGGCTACTCTTACAAAAGAAAGCATTTAATTGGGGCTTGCATAGAGTTTCAGAGTTGAGTCCATTATGGGGAGCATGGTGGCATGCAAGTAGACATGGTAGCTAAGAGTTCTACATCTGGATCTGCAGGCAGAGGGGAAAGAGAGACTCTGGGCTAGGCATGGGCTACTGAAACCTTAAAGCCACCCCAGTAATGGACTTCTCCCACAAGGCCACACTCCTAATCCTTTCAGATAGTGCCACTCCCTTGTGACCAAGCATTCAAATCTATGAGCCTATAGGGGCCATTCTTTTTTAAACCACTACAACTATTGTTGCAGAAATTATATGCTGTTTTTATAGTGTATTCCACTGCAGTTACTGATGTTGCTAGATATGGTTAATATTGTTATAACTGCTGGACTAACTACTAGTTACACTGCCAATTTATACATGTAAAATCACATCTATTTATGAATTATTATCACACTATACTTGTTTCTAAGTTCAATATGACCAAAATGAGGTTTTTTTGGAACTCTTAAATTTTAAGAGGAGAGAACTGGTGTTTCATTCTTGTCCTTGATCTAAAGCAAGAAACCTGTTTTGACTTAAAAGTTTTCTACAGGTCTGAGGAGATAGGTCAGTGAATAAGAGTACATTCTGCACAACATGAGGACCTGAGTTAAAATACCAGCCACCCATGTAAAAAGCACAGACAGGTAGATCTTGAGAATTTGCTGGCTAGCCAGACTAACCAAAATGGTTCGTATAATATCCTGTTTCACAGTGAAAAATGGAGAGCAATGGAGGAATACACCTTGTTCTGGTGTCTGTGTGGCATGCACAAGCATGCATACCTGCACATTCAGTTGTGTGTACCATACTTACACACCACATACATACCCTGCACACAGGTGAATGAAAATGTAAAATACTAAAGTAAGAAAATAAAACTTTCTTTAAAATACACCATAGACAAGTTTCTGTGGTTTCAAAGCAGTGCAGGGAATTAAGATTTGTAGCATCATTGAGGATAGAATCAACACATGCATACCTAGGATACTAATTTGTAAACTGCATTTTCACCAGGATACTAGCCAACTCACCAGGCCATGTTGTTTGAACAGAAATATTTGACTTGTAGCTAGATCACAACTGTTCTCCATGTTTCTTTTTTAGTTTGTTTTTTATAAGATAGGGTCTTGCAGTGTAGTTCAGGCCATGAACTTGGCATTTTCCTACCTCAGTTTCCTGAGTACTGGAACTATACATGTATCACCTCACCCAGCTCCAAGTTTCATAGTCTGGGACTCAGCCTGAAGGAGCAGCTCTTCACCTGCTGTTGCTGTGACCCAGGAAAAGAGTACAAGAGCTAGAGAAAGCAGGCAATGGTTCTTAAAGCATCTGTGTAGACTCTGGGGCCCTGCACACTTATACTCTTGAGTCATATATAGCCCTGTCCAGCTTGTTTTTCATAAGACTGGCAGGCCCAACTGTTTTATTTCTATAGCAAAATGCAAGAAACAACTTATGCGAATAAAACTAATGCTGTCCACTATACCATCCATGTCTGACCTTTACATGTATCACCTAGTTAACTAGAATTAATCAGCCTTATAACCTTATATTTTTATAGAACTTTGATCACATGTACAAATGAGTTCATCTCAATAATTTTTTTCTTTCTGCTTAACAGTTGTAAGATGCTGCACCATTTTCATCAGAAACATCAAAGTTATGCATGAGTATAAGTACCCTCTGTGCTTTCTGCTTTGAGAGGCTGTTTGTAGCTATTTATAATGAAGTATAACCATGAAAAACTCTTGAATGTGGAATTCTTCCCTAGTCAAAACACTTTTTGTTGCTTCATTTATTTTGTTTTGTAGTTGTGATAGAGACTCACTATATATAGTCAAGGTGATTTTGATACTGCCTCCTCCCTAGATCTAGGATAATATCCATCATTTACCAAACCTGATATGTATATAATTGTGCTTCCCAGTACTGTGGATTAACAAATTATATTTGAGGATTTTTAATATTACTTTCTTTGATCTAGGAATCCAAGGCATTATAGAGGCTTATCGGACCTGTCTTCCTCAGATAAAACTCTATGGACCAACTAATTTTTCTCCAATTATCAATCACGTGGCCAGATTTGCAGCTGCAGCCACACAGCAGCAGACAGCATCTGTAAGTGCTCTAGGTTCAGGAGCAGGAAGGGTGTGGTTGGTACTTGCTTGTCATACAGTTTACTGAGTTTGTTAGGATACTAAGTGAAGAGAAAGAAGTGACGGTATAATTAGGGGAGAGGTATCTATTGTTATTAATGGTCACTAAAAATAATGCTTGTATTTATGAGTCTTTTCTCGGGCTTTGGAAGTAATTTGCTTAGATTCTTCCAAAGGCAGGAAGGGCTATTACTTAACCTTTAGAAACATACTTCACAGAGACAGATACCCACAGCTAAACACTGAACTGAACTACTGGAACCCAGTGACAGAGAGGGAGGAGTGATGAGCAAATGGGTCAAGACTGTGCTGGTGAAACCCACAAAGACAGCTGACCTGAAAAGGAGGAGCTCTTGAACCCCAGACTGATGGTTGAGAGGCCAACAGGGACTGATCCAGACTCCATGAATGTAGTGTCAGTGAGGAGGCCTCAGGAATCTCTGGGGCTTTGGGTAGTAGATTAGTGTTCACCATGGTGTACAAATGGACTTTGGGAGCCCATTCCACATGGAGGGATGCTCTCTTAGCCTGAACACATGGGGAATGGCCTAGGTCCTGCCCTGGATGAAATGGCAGACTCTGGAGATCCCGCCAAGGAAGGCCTCACCCTCCCTGGGAAATGATGTGGGGATTGGGCCAGGGCTAGGACAGGGTTGGTGGACGGACAAGGGAGGAGGAGTGGGAGAGGGAACTGGGATTGACATGTGCAGCATGCATGTTTCTAATTTAAATTAAATTAAAAGAAAAAGAAACATACTTCACATGAAGGCCTTTTTATCAGTTGCTGTTATTGCCTCACTCATGTAAAGTGCACAGTGCCTGGGTTAGAGAAAACATTCCCATACTTGTAAGTCACTGTCATAAATCTTATTCCTATCTTAGACTTAACTGGCCCCCAAAAAAATAAAATCACAACTTTATGTGACATTTTACTACACTAGAAAATATCAAACAAGACAATTTTTTTTTAAAGCATGTGCTTTAGCCGGGTAGATAATCCTTCTTTGTGAGTTTTGGATCTGTTGAGAATGGAGTTCTCATTTGCTCCCTTGCTCCAGTCTTTGACTTGTTCAGTTTAATGAATGTTTATTCCTTTGCTTACTTGAAAGGTTTGTCTTTGACATTTAGATGTCTTCTGTGTATTTTTTTCAACCTATTATTTGGTGTGTTGCACTTCTAATGAATCTTCAGATTCTACAAAAGTTGATCCTTGTCATCAGAGAATTACAGGGTATTTTAAGCAGATGGTATCCTAGATACAGGCTGGCAGTGAAAATGAGTGAGACCCATGACTCATTAACCTCGATCACTCCTTTCACTTTGACCTTCACCTGCTCAGTAGACATATTTACTTTTTTGGCAGCAATACTTTGTGCTCTTGATTATCACTGATGGCGTCATCACAGACCTTGATGAAACCAGACATGCTATTGTCAACGCTTCCAAGCTGCCGATGTCAATCATCATTGTGGGAGTTGGGGGCGCTGACTTCAGTGCCATGGAGTTCCTTGATGGTGATGGAGGAAGTCTCCGCTCTCCATCAGGAGAGGTGGCCATAAGGGATATTGTTCAGTTCGTGCCCTTCAGACAGTTCCAGAATGTGAGTACCATTCCTTCTGACTTAAACACAGACCTTCAGGGTGCTTTTGCTTTTGCATGTGATTGGACATTTTTGTATCTTTTGTGCTTTTGCTATAACGATATGATAAGCTTAAAATGATATTGTTATAAGTATGTTAAGATTTTTTGTTACTTTTGTTTTAATTACTTTCCTCTTAGTTGTGAAATTACTGGCAAAGGCAACTTGAGGAAGGAAATCTTTCCTTTGGCTCTTAGTCCATTTTGGTGGGAAAGGCATGGCAGAAAAAGTCTAAGGTAGCTGGTCACAGTACATCCATAGTCAAGCAGAGAGGATGAATTTGGATGCTGTGTTAGTTAGGTGTTGTATTGCTGTGATAAGAACTATGACCTATAGTAACGTGGGGAAGAAAGGTTATTTTGCTTACATTTCCATATCACAGTCCATCATGCAGGGAGGACCTGGAGGCAGGAATTGAAGCAAAGATCACAGGAATGTTGACGATTAGCTTGCTTCTTATGACTTGCTCAGCTTGCTTTCTCTTAGAACAGAGGACAACCAACCTAGGGACAACACTACCTACAGTGGGCTGGACCCTCCAATGTCAATCATTAATTAAGAAAACGCTCTACGCTGGGTGTTGGTGTTACACTCTTTTAATCCTGGCATTAGGGAGGCAGAGGCAGGATGATCTATGTGAGTTCAATGCCAGCCTTGTCTACAGAGTGAGTTCTAGGACAGTCAGTGTTACACAGAGAAACTCTGTCTTGGAAAAAAAAAAAAAAAAAAACGAAAGAAAGGAAGAAAAAATGAGTGAGTTCTACAGGCTGTCTATAGCCTGATCGTAAGATCAGAAGCATTTTCTCGGTTGAGCTCTCTCCTCTCCTATCACTCTAGCTTATGTCAAGTTAACACAAACCAGCCAGCTCAGATGCTCAGCTCAATTTCTGCTTTTTACTTAGTCCAGGACTCCGACTCCTGGTATAAAGCACCATACTCAGGGGGAGGTCTACTCATCCTCTCCAGTTAAACTACTCTGGAAACAGGTAGGCCCAGAAGTTTATGTTCCAGGTGATTCAAGATCCTACTGAATGGGCAATCAAGATAAGTCCCACTTTGTAAGAACAGAAACTCTAGGAGAATGTGCTTGCTTGCTGAAAAGCTCTTAGAAGCAGGGTATGTTAATACATCTTTAATTCTCTCACTCTAAGACCAGCCTGGACCATATAGTGAGTTCCAAGTTACCTAGGGTCCCATAGGGAGACACATCTCAAAAACAAAACAAACAAACAAAATCAGATAAAAATCTCTTAGAAGATATTGTGCATAGCTTGGTCCAGTGTTAATACCTTGTAGAATATTTTATAGGATCACAGCCAGGATATGTACATTGTTCTAATTATGATTCAGCACCACAGGGAGCCCTTATATTGTGCTTTCAGTGATGCATATACTTCCCATATACACCTGTGCCTCCTTAGCCCATGTAAACCACTAAAGTGTTCATTTCTATTATTTCATTATTTCAGAAAACAAACAACTAAACAAAAAAGATTTTACATAAATGGGATCATACTGTATATGAGCTATAAGACTGGCTTTTTTTCTTTTAGCTTGATTCCTCTTAGAGTAGCCCAGGTTGTTGCATGCATTCCTCTTTAGTTTGGTTTGGTTTTTAAATTCTTGAGACAGTCTCCATGTTGATCAGAAATTCTCAGTGTAGACCATGCTGACCATTTTGAGAGGAACATGGGAGGATTTAAAGATAATGGCATATGAAGTACACACATATATATATACATATATATATTATTTGATATATACATATCAAATAAAAACCCATGTGTGAATGTTTATGCATTTAGCAACTTTATGCATAACAGATAAAAGCTGGAAACAACCCAGATGTCCTTCAACAGGTAAATAAGGAAGAAAACTATGGTACATCCATAGCATGGAATCCTCATGAACAAACCTTAAAAACAGTATCTAGTGCCTTTACAAAAGCTGATATGAAGGCCTTACATGGACATTGCTTGGGAAAAGAAGCATTCAGAATCAGTGTTGTTTAAACTTATGCCTTTCCTGTAATCAAAGACAGTGTTTCATAAAGCATAATATATTAGATACATGCATTTCAGAATGGTGGCTGATACCCAAAACTCCTTTTAAAATTATTTTATAGTATTGTAGGTAATTAAAATGGGGATTGCATTTAGTAATTATGAGAATAAGTAATACACTCTTTGTATGACTGACATAAAGTCTTTAGGCACAAATATAACAGTCTTTTAACATGACTCTCAGAAAAAGGAAAAGTTAAAGATACATTAAAAAAAATAGACCATGCATGTTACCACACACCTATAGTCTCAGCACTCAGCAAACAGAGACAGAAAGGCTATCAAGGTCACCTGGGAGGCAGAAGCAGAGGCAGGCAGATTTCTGTAAGTTGAAGTCTTGCTTGATCTACATAGTGAGTTCCAAGCCAGGCAGGGCTATATAATGAGACCCTGCCTCAAAACATAAGAGCCATAACAACAGCAGAACTATCAAATATGAAATGGCCGGCACCAAAGAACTTGACACATAAGCAATGATAATCATGATAATTATAAATAGCATCTATTACTTTTCCCATATTATGTGGACTGTTCCTAAGGTACAAGCCTAGAAGTTGGGAATTACTTACTACATCTTAATGACTGCTGAGTTATCTTTAGCCTTTTTTTTAATCAAGCTGCCAATATATCAGCTAGATGTGATTGTGTATGCCTGTACTTCTAGGTAGAGTCAGGAGGATGGAGAGTTCAGAGTCTTGCTTGACTGCATAGTGAGTTCAAGGCCAGCATGAGCTACAAGAGACAAACAAATAAGCAAGCCAGCAAGTCTCTAGTTGGTAATAACTGTGATTTTGTTTTTCCTCAAGGCTCCAAAAGAAGCACTTGCTCAGAGTGTCTTGGCAGAGATTCCCCAGCAGGTGGTGGGCTACTTCAACACATGCAAACTCCTTCCTCCCAAAAACCCAGCTGCAAAATAGAAGAAGCCAGGAAAACTCCAGGATTCATAAGCTGTATGGAACAATGTCATCTCTTATGCAGAATGATATATCTACTTTATGTGCATTTCACCCCCAGTGTTCCTCATATAAACCCAACTTTTTATATGTGTTTTACCTGGTTAAAACATTTTATACTTTTTGAAGAGGACAGTAGCAAGTCCATAACTGATCAATAAATTCAGTGATTGTTAGTGATTTATAGAAACTTTCAGAGCTCTATTTGGAATTGAATTTGATGTGGGAAAAGAAATCCATTTCCTCTATCTAATGGCATAATTGGGAGAGATCATTTTTATTCTTTTCTTGCTATGGTCCTGTGCATTGATTTGTATAGTTCTTTTTTTTAAAGATATTTTTGCCTTTTAAAAATAGTATTTTCATTTTCTTTAAACATATAGTTTGAATTATTTATTAATCAATTCCATTTTCATTTCAATAATGTACTGGTTCCTAAGTCCAGGATGTATTATGTTAATCATAAAACCTGATAGAATGTTTAAAAAGAAAAACAATACCCTTTTCTAACTGCCACATTTAAATAGTGTGGAGTTAATATGCTTGTTTTGAAGAATAGAATTATCTCAACTTTACCCTTTGAACTGCTTCTTGACCACCACATTTTTTGGAATGGATTCTGTAGCATTTGCCTGAAACTCTGGATGTCAGATACTTTGCCTGTCTGTGCAGTGGCCAATCATGAGTAACATTTTAACATTTAGAATTGTGTATTCGTTACATACTCTTAAGTGGATGTCCAGCACCAGTCAGCGCTCCTGTCAGTGTGACTGAGTCCCTCTGCTGCTGCCTGTGTCTTGGTTCCCTGCATGCTCTCAGAAAAAAAGTTAGTCTGTGTAGTAAAATGGCTATAATTCATAGTACATTAAGTAACCTGAGGTTTATTGGTGTTGCATGGCACAGTGGTGTTCAGGACTTTTCTTTGGTATACAGTGGGAGCCAATACAGAAATGACTTACAGATTCTCAGTGTATGTTAAGTGGTAGCCGAGGGGCTTCTCTGGCTCTGAAGCAGGGCTCACTGGCTTGCTCAGCCCCAGAGGGTACTCAGAACTATAGGCCCTTCGTGTTTTTATTAGGCTTCTGGCATCCATCTTCCTGCCATTTGGTCTTTAACCATTTTATATTCTGGCTTACCAGAATTTTAAAATGGTTTTTCTTTAAATGACTCAACTTTATTGGGTTTTTATAGATATGTTATTTGTAAGAGCTGTGATCCTGGCAAATTAATCCATGTATTAGTTGCAGTTTGAAATAGGAGCATTTACAACTTATAAAATTGTCATTTTATACAACTCTTAGTTTCAGCACTCAACTTCAATCTATGCTATTTTATAGTGTTTTGTATTCAAATATTTATTTTCCTTGTTGTGCCACTATTTGAACAAATGCCATTCATTCATTCTTTTTTTTTTTTTTTTTGGTTTTACAAGATAGGGTTTCTCTGTATTGTTTTCAAGGCTGTCGGTCCAGCCCAGCCTTGAACTCACAGAGATCCGCCTGCCTCTGCCTCCCTAGTGCTGGGATTAAAGGCGTGCACCACCACCACCCGGCTGCCATTCATTCTTAAAGTGACAATCTAGAATGAAAATCACCAAATTGACTTTCATTTCTCTATAACCACATAGGTACATACATGGTCATGCCATGCATAGACATGATTTCTCACATGCATTTATTCAGAAAGTGTTTCCATTGGCCTTGTCTACTCATCTTCTGTTTATGATTGATTTTTTTTTAAAGGCCATTAAAACTTTTAAGTCTTTGAGGGATTTACATATCTTCACTTTAGATAGTGCTTGATGGGCTTTTCCAAAGCAGATTCAGGGCCTCATTGCTGCTGCTTTGCTCCATTCATACATTTCCTAGAAAACCATCTTCAAGAATACTCTCTAGTTTGTTTTTCATGAAGGTGGTGTAAGGTAAGCTAGCAGTTGGGTGAAAGTTGTAAGCAGTTGTGTGGCTGTGTATGGCACAGTATGTGTATAACTTACCAATACATGAATTCATGTCAAATATATCTTCTGTGTAAATTCCCTTTGGATAAAGTTACTTCTTGATGTAACATGGCTGTGTTTTGTTTTCATTTTTTTTCTCTACATCTTACCAAAATAATAGAAAATGGAGCTAGGGAAATGGATCAGTGGATAGACCATTTGCTATGTAAGTTTGAGGACCTGAGTTCAGACCCCTTTACCCCTGCAATAAGGCAAGCATGGTCACAACCTTAGCACCGGAGGGTACAGATACAGGATTGCTGGGACTTCTGGCTGTTAGCCTGGTGGAGAACTGGCGAGCTCCAGGTTCAGTGAGAGCAATAGAGAACACTCGGTGTCCTCTGGCCTGTGCATCCTGCACACACTTATTTGTGCACTAATTTACCATATATAGGAAAAATAATAGAAAAAGTTAGAAGTAAATAGGAAATCAGTTTAATTTGGGGATGCCATTGAAAAACCACCATAGACTGAGTAACTTATTACCCAGGCTGGGAAATTTAAAAGTGTGATGCAGGGGGCCTCTGCTGTGCCATCACATGGTAGAAGGGCAGTGAACACATGAGAGACAGGGAGAAGAAACTGAGCTGAACTTACCCTTTGCATCTGGAACCCACTACCACAATGCGACTGGACTATACCTGTGATGGAAGTATTAACAACTCAGTAGGGCCAAGAACTAAATGGTAACTGATAATTAAAGGTTAAGCAGCAAATATGAAGCTGTCCTAGGGTTTCTGTTGCTGTGAAGAGACACCATGACCACAGCAACTCTTACAAAGGAAACATTTAATTGGGGGTCACTTACAGTTTCAGAGGCTTAGTTCATTATCATGGTGGGACATGGCTGCATGCAGGCAGACGTGGTATTGAAAAAGGATCTGAGAGTTCTACATCTTGATCCATAGGTAGCAAAAGGAGTCTGTCCACATTGGACATAGCTTTAGCATAGGAGATTTCAAAGCCCACTTCTACAGTGGCATACTTCCTTCAACAAGGCCATACTTGTTCCAACAAGACCACAGCTCTTAATAGTGCCACTCCTTATGAGCTTATGGAGGCCAACTTCATTCGAAACTCACATTCCACTCCCTGGCCCTATTGGTTATAACAGTATCATAATGTAAATGCATTTAGTCTAACTTCAGAAGTCCCCATAGTCTATCACACTCTCAATAATGCATAAAAATTCAAAGTCTTTTCTGAGATTGATGCAACCTCAACTATAATCCCCTATTAAAAAAAAACAGATCACATTCTTCTAACATATACTGGGACAGGATATACATTACCATTCCAAAACTTAAGGAAAGAAGCATAGTGAGGAAATACTGGAGTGAAGCAAGACTGGAAATCATGTGGGCAAACTCCAAACTCTGCATCTTAATGTCTGATGTCAAAATGCTCTTCAGAACTCCATCTCATTTCAGCTTTGTTGACTGTAACATACCTCTTTCTCTTGGGCTGGTTCCACTCCCTGTTAGCAGTTTTCTTCAGCGGGTATCCCACCACTGTGGCATCTTGAGGTCTCAAAGGTAATGCAGGCTTTACCTTCACAGTTTATACAATGACCTCCCTAGGCTTCCATTCGGGAAAACATTTAATCGAGGTGGCTTATAGTTTTAGAGGTTTAGTTCATATGATGGGCTGAAAGAAAATGGCCAAACTCAATTCTGACCACAGTGACACACAAGCCAGGGAGTTGGCAGTGTTTTGGTGTGACTCAGCTTTTAGATCACACACTTGGTTCTGGGTCTGTTTCTGGATTCTTTGCCTGCCTACACGGCTGCTTCTGTATCAAATCATCAGTTGGGGCCTGTTGGGGAAGTCTTATGCCAATAAAGCACTGTCTGGCCAATAGGGAATCTAGATAGGAGGGACTAGGAGTCCAGGAGGATTCTGGGAAGGAGAAACACAGAGAGTCGAGATGTAACGCCATTGGGGTAGGAAGCCCGGAAACCTCTCTGGTAAGAGACATACTTAGATTAACAATTATGGGGTAATTACTTAAGTCAGAGCTAGCCAGTAAGAAACAAGCAAGGCCAACAGCTTCATAATGAATATAGCCTCCTGTGTGTTTATTTGGGACTGATGCAGATCTGGAACCAGGCGGGCGGAACGGCTCCCTCTCAAGGAAAAAGCTTCTCTTAACAGGGGCCATCTCATCAGATCCTTCAATGGTTCAGAGGTTGGCACACACCTGGTAATTACACAGATCTCTAAAGTTGCCAATCTTGCTTATGACAAAATCATCACCCTTGTTACTATTCATCACTATGTTTTGTCAAATTCCCTAGAAAAATCACAGGAGTTGTAAAGTACCTTGGAAATTGTCTTAGCTATTACTCCCTATGCTTCCCCACCCCCAGCAAAGAAATAATGGATAAGACATTTCAAGTGACTTTTTTTTTTGTACAGCTTGGGCTAAGAGAGTTAGATCTTTGAGTCATTAGTAGATTCACAAGGCACCAAGTTTAGAAACAGCTCTGATCTTCAGAGCAGAACTTAGAATTCTAGGACTTAGGGAGCCCAAGGAGAATATTCTGTTTTCTTCAACCATCACACCCATCATAGTTACTTTTCTGTATCTGTGAAGAGACACCATAATCAAGGTAATTTGGTAATTTATATAAGAAAATATTTATTAGGGCTCATGGTTCCAGAGGGTTAGACCCCATGATGGCAGCAGGAGGTCAGGCATAGCACTGGATTAGTAGCAGGGAATCTACATCCTGATCCACGGAATAAGGCAGAAAGAGAGAGAGAGACAGAGACAGAGAGAGAAACTTTGAAATCTCAAAGCCCAGCCCCAGTGACACATCTAATTCTTTTTTTTTTTTTTGTTTTTTGTTTTTTTTGTTTTTCGAGACAGGGTTTCTCTGTATTGTTTTGGAGACTGTCCTGGAACTAGCTCTGTAGACCAGCCCGGCCTTGAACTCACAGAGATCCGCCTGCCTCTGCCTCCCAAATGCTGGGATTAAAGGCGTGCGCCACCAATGCCCAGCGACACACCTAATTCTTACCAAACATTTTCACTGACATTTCACCAATGGAAGACCAAGGATGTGTATATGGAAACCACTCTCATTCCACCATCCTGTAAACATATTTATTTTCCTCTTGCATAGATAGTTACTGAGTTGCTTGCTACTGGCAACCAACAAAAGAGTTTTTTTTTTAAGTGAGAAATCTGATTATCTCCAAAGCTTATGATCTAATATGAAAATGAAGGGGCTATGCAAAAACAAAGCTGACTCCAATATCCCACTTCCTTCTAGCCCCAGACCCTCCTCCCTCAGGAACTAGGCCATTTGTTAGTAAAATCTTTATATTGGTGTTTTTTCTGAACTCTCCATTTTTTTTTTAGTCCTAACTTGTCTTTCATAAAGAACATGCATTAGGTCTACCGCAGCCTTATCAAGTAGTGGCTTATCTCCTCTTCCTGATTTTTTTCTACTACTGGGGGTGCAATTTCTCTGGCCATCCCTTCTGCTCTGAGATAGTTTTCCCTCCTTTTTAAGGCTTTCAACTTTGAATGTTAATCATAAGTTACAGTATATTTCTCCTTCTAGTGAACTAGTTCAGCCTAAACTATATAGTAGTATAACAAACCCCTCTATATTTTTTTAAGATTTTTTTATTTTAAAATTATGTGTATATGTGTGCCTTCCTGCGGGTATCTTAACGTGAATGTAAGTGCCTGCGGAGGCTAGAAGGGGATGTCAGGACCCTTGAACTGGAGTTGCACTCTGTTATGAACTGCTAGGTGTGGGGATTGGAACGGAACTCAGATCCTGTGCACAAGCAGTGCACACTCATACCAAGAAGCTATCTCTCCACCTCCACCCTATTTCCACACACCCACATCAAAAATATACCTGTGTTTAGGTGTAGTATTCCATTTTCCAGTACCAACCTGCCTTCCCTCACATTCCTTCTATTGCCACGACTCTAACAAATCTTTATCCATCAGGGCCTTTGGTGTACTAATTCCATCACATCTTTCATCTTCATTATTTCTCTTGGCATGGCCCCTCTTGCTCCTTAATTTTCTAAATTTCTTTCCTGATAGTCACTGCCTTGACCCTTCTGTCTCAACCTTGTTCCTGCTTTACTATGCCCAGCTTGTCATTGCCCCTTCCTGAAAACTTCTACAGTCACTTGAGTGCCTTGCTCCTTTCTCTCTTTCTACAAGTCTTTGCTCAAGCATCACCAACAGAGACTTCTGCTGATCACCTTGTTGAAGTTGGTCTTCCAGTTTTTCCACCACCACCACCACCACCATGGCCAAACACCATCCCACTTTGTTTACATTTTTCCTATTTAATACTCTGAATGCTGAGGCAGGAGGATCATGAAATTATCTTCTTATCCTAAAAATGCTCAATCTATTGCCTGTAGAGGACATGAGGTCCTTGTCCTCACAGATAAACACTAGTGAAACTAGGAATGTTGAACACACTAGTTGTCTTTTGAAAGGAAGAGGTGTGTGACCTGTCTTCTGCCCAGAAGGCTAGGAATGGATGTAGTTGTTAGCCTGGTGACCTGTGCTATCTGTAGGGCCAGACCACACCTGACTCCCTGAAACTTTTATGTTTATTCCAGACTCTTTCTCCATACATGTTTATCATCAGCAGTGTTTCTCAGTCAAAAGAACCCATTCTTATGAGAGATGTCACATGTACTTTACAAATGGAGCAGAATTAGTTAATAGCCTACGTGACCTTGGTGTTATCTGAAGGGTCTGACCACATCTGACTTTATGTTTATCTGGCTTTATGCTTATCTCATTCATTCTCCCTACACCTTAGCTTCAGCAGTGTTTCTCAGCCAATTGAACCCAACTTTATGGAAGAGATCATAAGTACTTTGTAAAGAGTTTCAATCTAATTGTGTCTTAAGCTTTGTTGTACACATGGGAACAAGTTAATTATCCTAAGGATGCTTTTCTCCAAAATTATGCTATACTTAAATATGCCTAAAATAAACTGCCTGGTGTCAGACACTGGAAGTTTGAACTAAGACTGGCTACTGAGTCATGCTGAACCAGACTTCCTTCTTGCCTCAC